TCGTCGCTGTTGACCTACGTTACTAAAACGCTAGGAAAATTGACCAACCTAACCAGAAGCACGAAAATTGTTTAGAGTATACACACTTAAAAATTTCTGTGTTCATAGTCACTTTGGGTTACTTATTGAAGAAAATCGACGAATGTACTGTTGATGAACTAATGTACTCTTGTTCCTTTCGATGTCATTCAGATGTTACGACTTGCGAATGGCCAGCGCATTGTACGGAATATCAACAATACGATTTAGGCTCGATCCTGGCGACTTGTCCCCGATTTATCACAAGTTTCCGACATTCAATTCAAAGATTCGGTCAATGTAACCAAAAGAAAATCCAACCAAAAAATATTAGCCAAACGTCTAGGTTACTTCGTCATCTATTTCCCATATTAACAGATACTTTCGGTTTCTTTCTCCTACCGTGAAGTATAATTCGTCGCATTCGGGCCAGAGTATCACAAGCGCCGTGCGACGTTAAAAAAATTCCGCCGCCATGTTTTTTTGCGGAGGAATTATTCAACGAAGCTGTCCGAAAATATCAATGAATTTTCTTTATGCAGCCGATAAAATTGAGCGAAATTTTTGAAGAGAGCTAAACAATAATTTCTCTGGAAAAAAATAAAATGCCGGCGGAAATTTTGAAATGTCGCATGGCGCTCACTGAAAAAAAATTCTCGGCGTTTTTACCAAGGTCCGTTGGTACCTTTACCATCTTACTTTTTTTTTACCAATTATTGGTAATTTTACCAAGACAGACAAGTAAGCTTACCTAAAAACCGGTATTTTTACTGGTTTTTTTTCAGGTAAGAATACCACTTTTATTCGTAATCAATTCCCGGTAACTTTGCCATTTTATCTTGGTAATTCTACCACAGTCGATAAAAAATATTGGCGTTTTTACCAAGGTCCAGTAAAATTACCGAGAAAGTTCAATAATTTTACCGAGATTTCTCGGTAAAATTACCAATTCCATAAATGGTAATTTTACCAAAAAAAAAACTGGGATCAAATAGAACCCTGAATTCTTGGTAATTTTACCCTTCTCTTAGTAAATACACCGAGAGTTTTTTTTCAGTGCTCATTATACTGTGGCTGGAAGGTGACGAATTGACCTTTATCTCTAAGTTTTAAGATATCAAGCCCCTTTCCGCAGATCCGGTCATTATTCAGGTTACTTAGAAATCACAATGGCAATTTCTTCTGAAAGTGGCAGAAGAACCGCGTCGAGTGGATACGCAGCTGGATCTCGACTCCCACGCCCGATACAAAGCGAACACGCTTTACAAATGAGAAACCGTGGGTGAACACCTCGACATCAGAAGCAAGCTTCTTTTCCGCGCAATTAAGCCCCGTCCACTAACTTATCGCACCCGTGCATCTAAATAATGCATGATCTATATAAAGTGCACTCCTGCGATTGTGAATTTCTTTTCAAGTCGTTGCCGTCACTCTCGAAATTAGCACTCTTATATTATTTTCTTCATGAATATTAGACGTACTCGTATTTTAACGATTCCACAATTTCTTATTTTTGATTAAGTCAAGACTTGCATTGAGATCATTTTAGAAATTACTGTAGTCTTTGATAATGAGATTTCCTTCGATACAATAAAATACTGATGCAGAATTCCTGTCAGGATCGGCAGCCATTCAATTCCCCAACCAGTGAAGTTTAAACTTTCATTGAACTAGACGATCTTTTCTCCACCCGTTCAGGGCCGGATTTACCTACTTACCGCCCATGGGCCGCTAGTATTTGTATTTTGCCGCCCCCTTCTCATTCGTTTTGAAACATCGATGAAAACCATCAAATGAACGTGCCAGCGGGAGAGGGGTGCACAAGACGCGTTTACTGGTGTTGCAATCATTTTTTGGGAAAGCCCTGTCAACACTACTAGCAAAAGTTCACGGAACTTTGCACGAAAGTTAAGTTTCGTAGACCTATCTCTGTTTAGACAAGGCCTTTCACTCCTAAGAAATGAACGAAAAAATTATGAAAGAGCAAACATAAATGTGGATTAATGATTTTAACTTCCGCCGCCGCGCCTCGCAGACCGCACTGTGTTTGACGCAATGCGTGAAGTATTCACGCAGTCTTGTAGGCGCTATGCGTCTCACGCTGATTGCACTGTGTTTGCCGCAATGCGTGAAGTATTCGTGCAGTCTTGTAGGCGCTAATATGTGTTACATGCCGAACGCCGCGCCGAGGGCTTCTCCTTTTCATCTCAAGTCCTCATCATTTATCTCTACGTAAGTCGCGCTGCGCCGTTCCAGGCCAAATTGCGTGTTTGGTTTCTCTTTTAACTCGACTAATTAAAGGCGCTGTCTCTTGTATCACTGAAAGATGTCAAAAGTAGAAATTACTATACTCTCAGAAAATTAGAGATTTTGTAGCCTTTTCTCGTTTGTAATTTTTTTATTCTAAATCCGATTTTTTTTTTATACCTACATTTAAAAAAATTGCAAAATTTGTCGCCCCCTATAGATTTGCCGCCATGGGCCGCAGCCCATGTGGCCACCCCCTTAATCCGACCCTGCACCCGATGACAAGTTACCGTTTCAGTCCAAAAAGCATGTCGCAACGCAAAAAACAAATTCCTAGAGATAAAATTTTTAAGTGTATTCTTGATGTTCAGTGGCTTTTCTTGAAAGTTGGCAACACTGTTTTTCTCCATTTAAATGCGGGCTCAACTATCGATTCTTAGTGAGGCAGTTTGCTGCTTGCCCCACCAAAAATCGATATTTTTAATGGATTTAAATGGAGAAAAACAGTATTGCCAACTTTCAAAATCGCCCCTGTTGGCATTTCCAGGAAATTTGATTACAACTTTGACACTCGATCCACAAAAGAACGTTTAAACCAGAAACTGAGTATTTGGGGACCCTGTGGGGCAGGCCTCTTTTGGTTAAAAATTTGTAAAATCGTGGAACGTTACTTTTCCCCCAATGAAAACTGATGGGTGACAAATTAAAAAATTAAGCGTTGTGTCGAACGATACGATCCCCAAAATGCAACCCAGGCAGTCTCGGGTAAAGCGGTGAGTACCTGGAGAGTCAAAATGCCTTCCTATGCAACACCTATATATGCAACACGGACATCCGTTGAGCTCGAATAGTTGCATCCAGACTTATAATGAAATTCGCTTAGTGTTCGTTGCATACTATCTTAACTGAGGGTGCTTTGCTTGTCTCTCCTACACCTCGACTCAATTCCGGTCTACCTCATTGCGCCGTTTACTAATTTTTATCGTAACATTGTTAATTTTCCAAATGATGCTTTGATTGTTCGTACGTTGCTATTCTAAAATGTAGGCTGCGGCCGTACATTTGCTAACTTAAAAACGACGAATGCTGCAGAGTTGTTTCATGGACCTTTCAATGAAAGAATCTCCAGCTCGTATCCCAGCACGCTTGTTTTTGCGGAGGAGCTAAGTAAAATTCAGTCCGAAGCATGCATCAACCTATGATTAGTCGGATAGGAAGGGTCCGAAGCTTGCAAAAAAAAATGTCTTTACATTACAGATTGCTTCAGAGTCATATCGAATCGGAGAACCAGCAGACCGGGATCATGAAAATCGAATCAACGATCAAAAAAATCAAGTAAATGTTTCCTCCTCGGTTTTTTTTTTTTTTTTTTTTTTTTTTTTTTTTTTTTTTTTTTTTTTTTTGTACGAGATTTGCGCTTTCAGACAACCATCACAATGCATATTTACTAAACTATTGTGTTTGTTTGCCTTTTTGTCAGAGTCTATATTAAAATATTACATCATTAAAACATGTTACACTGCGATCGGATTTCCAAATAGGTTACATTTCTCCAGTCTCCTTTTCACAAAAGTAATATCCTCGAGTGACTTAAACGCACCGGTAGAACAGAAAGCGGGGTTCGTTGATTGTTCTTCTAGTTTTCCCATACGAAATCCCTATTCCATTTGGAAAAAAACTCTTCAAAATTTTAGTCTATCATGTTAATGTATGGAACAGCCGGATCTCAAAGCAACGTTATGACCTTCAGTGTTCCATAACTTTCTTTACGCGCTTATTTTTCAGGGCACCAGAAAAAGCTTCGCGTCGGAATCTCACAATCTGATTTTTCAGCCCAAGTCTCCAGAAATCGCTCCACCGATGGGGTCTCTACAGACTGGGGCCCTTTTCACGTGAATAGTCACATCGTCCGTTCTCTCACGAAAGAACGTAACTTCATTTCAATGTTGCCACATTTCCCCTCCCAAATTCCATGTCAGCTAAAAGAATCTTGGGCATTGCTGACTGAAAATTTCACCGATTTTCCTCAGGTTTGATGCAAAAATCAGAAAAATTGTTGATAAAAATTGCTCTGAGATACAACTTTGTAAAATGAATTGATCGTTTGAATCAATTTGGCAACCTTGGAATGAAGTTACGTTCCTTCATGAAGGAGACTACGATATGTGTAAATACACTCTAAATTCGGACCGCGTTTGACAGAAACGTACCAAGTCGCATCAAGTTTGATCCGAGAAAATTAAAGTTTCATTCCTCCACAGGGCTCCGGTTCCTCTTATCAGGGTTGAGAGCAAAGTTTAACGAATATTTCACGTTCATAGAATATCCCTTGACTCTGAATTCTTGACAGAAGAAACTTTACGACACGCTGCGAATTAAAAACTGTTTCCAAAATGCGATTCGCTGAGTTTCTGTTAAACTCGGACAATTTCGATAAACTGCAAAAATACGTACATCGGTGCGTGTCTTGGCGTTTTAGACTTCTTGTCATACTTTATTTCTACATGGAAAACTACTGAACTTCATTTTTTGACACTTTAAGTGATTTTTCTTCACGTTATAAGAATACTCTAGGGAAACTTCAAGCTATCATGTTGGTTCGGTCTGCTTCTAAAAAATAAAATAAGAGCGGCGATTCCAAAACACCACAACCGAGATACACATTTTTGCAGTTCCACCGTCGATTTGCTACCCACGGAACTATGAAACGTGAAGACGAGAAGTTATTTCCTTACCGTGAGCGATTGCTGAGATCTGGTAGAGAAGGCACAAAGTGACGGTGGAGTAGACACAGAGAATATCCTGGAGAAAATATTTCATCTTCCTCACAGTCACAAGAGAACACTTGGCCACTCGCGTCCGTCGCGTGTCAATCTGCAAAAAACCGGCAGTTTTTGAAATGGATCTTGAGATAGAACAAATAATTCGACACCGAACTTGAGAGACTCATCTTCGCCGCGGACAGACGGACGCTTAGGCACACATAGCAACGTGCAAACACTCGAAAACGGCGCAAAAGTCCGTAACCGCGAATCGGGCACGTGAAGAGAGCGGGTCGGAGCGCGGCGCGACTGAGCTTTGGCGAGTTAACCGACGGCGTAACGGAGGCTCAACTGATGCCCATGCCCGGATCGGATCGGATCGGGCAGATGGTATCCGAGAGTCCCAGACTAGCCCAGCAAGTGGAGTGAGCACACACGCGTTGTCACGTTGGGCCAGGCTCGGGATCTCTCACGCTGAGGACCACATACGAAGAGGGCTTAGTCCATTAACATGATCTCAATCCAGGAACAAGTCAGCCACGCCTCACCGCCGCCGCCGCCACCACCTCCACCTCGAATCGTAGTTCAACTTTACGCTATTTCAACGTAGTACCCTGTGCCCGCGGCCACGGAGCAACGTTCATCGACAGGGGACCAAAGCTCCGCTCCGACCAAGAAAAAATGGACCAGTAGACTAGCTACGAATGTATGTGCTGGTACCACGCTCAAATTCCCATCAATTTCGGATCAAATGGTGACTGGTGCGCACCATCTACCATCAAATTTCTGTGGCCTGCAAAAATTTGATGGTAGATGATGGAACTGTGGGGTGGGGCTCATCCGTCATCTGATTTCCACACAACCGTGCTTATTTCAATCAACACGCTGTTTTAATTAATTTTACTCATAAATCTAGATAACTCTCGACCGCCATCTTGGTCATCATATTGATCGGAATTTGACGGAAATTTGAGCGTGTAACCAGGCAATTAAGCATTCTCATGCATGTTTCTTCGCCAGAATTGAGAATTTGCTCAAAACAATGTTGTTGCTTCATCAAAGAGTGCTAAAAGCCCTTGTCCCACGATCAAGTGAACTCATCTAATACTTATCAAATGCAAGATGGCGGGTTCATCAACATTTGACGGCCTGCTAACTTTTGATAGCGGACTTGCGCGAAAACCAGTCGCCATCTTGCATTTGATGAGTATTTGATGGGTTGCTTTGATCGTGGAACGCGGGCTTAATGAACTGAGTTCGCGGTATTTTTCATAATTTTCTTTTGGTATGAGAAATTGTAGTGAAATTGATTTGAAAATGAGAAAATGTGCCTCCTTGTGACGTCATTTAGCGGCATTACCCATTCAAATACGTGTACATTAGCTGATTATGTTATTTTGTCATATTTTCTCCAATGATAGTTCAATTTAAAAACCGAGAATATCGTCGTGCTCAGTTCACTCCGTAATTTCGTTTTAAAAACAAGGAATTTACAAAATGTAAGGCATCTGCAAATTTTTCATTTCACGTAGAACACCACTGCGGAACGAAAATGACTTAAATAAACTCCTAACTGAGATAGGAACGTTTTTAAGTTTACATTGGTTCCGAGAAATTTGAATTCTCTGAAAATTTTGAACAATTTGAACGACAAGAATCTACTTCAATCAAATTGCGCACTACATCGGTCTGCGGGCTTCTTGATCGTCAGTGTTACTTTTTCACCCTGCGTTGTTCAAAGTATAAACAATGTGCAGTAACTGAGCCGAGGCGCCAATATTGAAGTTGCCACATTTTCATACCGCGGAGATTTTTAAGGCAACATTTAGTGTGCCATTTGACTCACGTAAACTTTTGGTTTTTCATAACGAGAGGTTTGAATTTACGCGCCAAGGAACATTCAATATCTTGATCAGGAGTTCCCTGGTGAAAATTGGCGATAGGAGCTGCGTTTCAAAATACCATAGGAGTTCTTATAGCCGACTGAAGAAGGCGATAGAAAATCATATAGCTGGCGGTAGAAAGTGGAAAATATCATACGGCCGGGCTACACGAAGCGATAGGAACTATAGCCCGGCTGTATAATTTTTATTATACAGCCGGGCTGTAGTTCCTAGCGCCGGGCTTTACACCGTATCGCCTGGCTGTTGCTTTTTCGCCATCAGCTTATAGGCTATAAGAAATTGTGCAGAAATTCGTGTGCTTTGTAAATCCTTAAGTTTGTACAGAATCACCTTAATATTTGCAAAACGCACATTATATTTTCCTTTACTACATATTTTTTTTCATCAAATAAAATAAGAATAATCCATACAGGATGTGCAAACATTTCAAAGTCATGAGTTAAAAAACGCTGACTCCCCGAGATTAAATATTAGAGCCAAACACAAAGCGGAGCGGCGGCGCACTGGCACCTACAAACCTAACAGGGATACTTCACGCGTTACGCAATGCGTGAAGTATCCCTGTTAGGTTTGTAGGCGCCAATGCGCGTTTCGCGCTGGCTGCCCGCCCGCCGCGCCGCGCCGCAGCGTACCACGGCGCTTGAAGCAACTATTTCACACCAGAGGTATTTCACAGTATCATACGAAATTGAAGGCGCTCCAACATATTAGGAATGGCAGGCATCCTTTAAAAGTACAGAGCTTTCCTCTCAAAATAAATCAAGATACTACGGCCCAAAAAGAGAGCGGTAGTCGAAAAACTCACTAAGTCCTAGCATCCGTAATTAGTAACGTTTAGCATACACTATATCGCCAAGCTGTTGCTTAATCGCCATCGGCTATAAAAGGCTATAAGAAATTGCGTTGCCGGCTATAGAAACTATTGGAAATCTTACAGCCGGCTGTAGGTCTATATGGTATTTTGGAACACAGATTCTACTGCCAATTTTTACCAGGGTTTATTTCAGTAATATTCGTTGCGCAAATCGTGTTTGGCGTAAAATTTTGATTTAGAAATGTATCAGAGTGCTGAAATTTGTACATTATCTGCTGTTCCATTCTACAATTTCGTCTTCTCCGCATTGAAAAACTCATCGCGCCCTCGTGTAGATCAGTCATGATATCGATTGCAAAATAGCGAAACCACGTATCTTCGTTTGCGACGTTGCAGACATCCTGCCATACGTTATTTTTTCTTTGGAAAACGAGTCGAACATTTCTTGAAAATTCCCTTAGTGTTCTAGTGAGCAAAGGGAGCATATTTTTATTTCACGCGTCAAAAAATCGCCTTTGAAACCATGAGTATGCAACCCCACACGACGGCCGTGTCCGATTAGTTCCCGCTCAGAAACAAGGAGCCATGCTACAGTAATATGAGTGCTCTGCATTTTATGGCTACTCTCTCTACAGGGTGATCCAAAAGTTCCGCACCACCAGCTTTAGGCGTCATCCCTGTGACTATGAACGACTCGAGATGGAACCTTGACATTTTGTGACTGCTCCTAGGTCAAAGGGAACGGATTTTTAGACCCTCCAAAATTCTAAAGAGGCAAGAAACCATGGGATTTTGGTGATAGGGCCGACATTTTTGATCACTCTCGTGATATGAGATAATACGATTCCACTATGCGGCTCGATTGGGGGTTAAATAGGTTAGGTCTAATGGAACAAATCAAATCTTGTAGTGAAAAATGTATTCGCGAGTATTTGAACCAAAAGCGAAATTGAAAATATGAGAGTGATTATAAGTGGAACGCATTTAGCAGAAAGGAACCAAGCCACATCGGCCATTGCCAAATTTAACCGGGCAATTTAGTTTTAACAAGAGAGCGTTTTTGCGGATTCCTTTGAAAATTTTAAGGAATTTGCTTCGTACATGCAGAAAATTCACTGGGAAAAAATCAGCACAATCGTTTTCGCGTAAAACATTAAATTGCCTAGTTACATTTGGCAATAGCTGACGTGGCTTGGTTCCTTTGTGATAAACATGATCCGAGTAAAATCCATACATTTTCAATGATTCGAGACTTGATAGATGTGCCTTAAGGTCGGTCTATTTTTAGTTGAGACATCTATTTCACATGATCATTTTTAAGCTGTATGTAGCGCTTTTTCGCCCGACATCGAAATTTATATCAGTTTTTGTTTAATTTCAACTACAATGAAAAGGACGTAAATACTTGTTTCGGCGTAATTCTGTTCGTGAAACTGTTTTCATAGTTGTAAGTGAATCCTTCGGAGGGAAAAAGAAAATTTTTATCGGCATTAACTTTATGACCAGCTTGTTAGAGACCATTCTCTACCATCGGATCAACAACTTCGATACTACCCTCTGCTTTTAATGATTGCGTAGGCGAATTCTAAACGTCCTAACTCGTATGAGATCCGAGGGTGCTAGAAAAACCTTACATGGTGCCTTTTTAATGGGGAGTCTAAAACAACGTCCGTAGTAAAATTAGATCCAAAAGTCCTCAAATGGTAAGTTTTGAGATTCCGTGTAAACCTTGTCACAGAGGAGAACACCCGTAGCTCGCTCCGAAAAAATAAACTCGGTCATGAATATGTGACTAATAACATTGAATACCTAACAGATTTAACATGATTTCCTCGAGATGACAAGGTAAGTGGCATATCATGGTTTCTCCGCCGACCTTTTTACATGACTCTCTGACGCAGGCAAAATTCTAGATAGGTAACCTTTTTTATATAAAATTTCCGATATATGCATTATATTTAGCTAGATTCATACTCATTTTTCTACGATAATTGATGCGTGATATTTAAAATATCTGTGTTATAAATGAGGCCGAGTCAAAGTTTTTTCAGAGGCTGAATACCGCAACACACAAAAATGGACGTATTACTGCTAAACGGAACTATGTGCATTATGACGTGAGCCCTGAGACCTATAAGAATATATGCATAGCAGGGCTCATGTCATAATGCACATAGTTCCGTTTGACAGAGATACGTCCAAATATCATTGCACAAAGATAAAGATCCCCAAGAACGACTGCTACTTACCCGTTTACATTGTTTGGGTACCTAGTGCGAGGTATCGGAGATTACATACGTGTTCCTCATTCTTGCGACATTGGGTGGCGAGGTGTTGAAAAATAATCAACTTGTTTTTTGACGCCCATAAATTTTTTTTCTAGACTCTCAAAGCCCCACGAAAGGCCTCCTTGACCAAATGAAGCAGATCAAGAGACCGATATATGATGAATCCACACTCTCTATTTCAAATAACCTTACACGATGTAGGGTATCTCAGCCGTATACGTGCACATAGTTATGATCGGTGATCTAGGTGGTGGGAAAAATGAGAAAGGATTGAACCAAAGACTACTTCAAGTTGTCACCATGTGCCAGTAAAATATTTTATCAAGAAAACCCTTGCCATTCTAAAAAAAAATATCTCAACGCATAAATATCTGTTGCGTCATGTCACCTCTACGTCT